CCCCAAAACCCCAAAACCCCAAAACCCCAAAACCCCAAAACCCCTAAGTAGATATTTAAGTTGATCTATATTGTTGGTAATAATAAAAATATCAAAATACTAAAAATGAGCGCAATTCAAATGCCTCCTGTTACCACAGCAACAATCAATGCAGGATTTCCAATTGGAACACCAGTCTCTGATGATTTCTCAACCAGCCTCCCTTCTATGATGCCAAGTACGCTTTAAACTTGTAATAACCCTGCATTGGAAAGCAATGCTTGTTAATTTACTATACTAATTCTAAAATAGCTCAAGTCGGAGCACCTGTGACCTTCACTGCTATAGTCACTGAGTCAGCGCCTACTTCAAAAGTACATGTTCCAACATATCTCAAAGTTATTGATGCTACTACACCAACTGAGTCAGGTAAATGCTCTTCTTTTTACATCTTCAATAAAGTTTGAAGCTGTTAGTGTAAATCCGAAAAGTTTCTTGTCGGAACTCTGGAAAGAATTGGCTATAAAAGTCGCTCATATTTTGAATGTTCATTCTTTTGACAGTATATTAATAAGCTGAGTATAGATCATATGGCTACTTCTCCAACGAAAAACAACATGAGCACTCATGTGACTTCAAACGTTATCTATGAAACACCAACTATGACTCATGTGACTCCAAATGTCACCACTTTAACGTAAGTATCAGTCTTGGATCAGAATTTAATTTTTAGGACTTCTGAACAAGAATCAGCTCTGGCTAACCAAGTTCATTCTCAAGCATGAGCGGCTTTCAATACAGCCTGAGGTGCTGATATGATGCTAAATGCATCTGTTCTGCCAGCCTCGGCGATGACTGCTAATGTCTCAGACCCTGCCTCTATGATGGCAATCCCACCAACAGGTAAGAATACTTTAAAGAAAGATTCCTTGATTATAAGGGATCTTGTTATTACAAGCTAAAATTTCAGAAATGTTGACACTCTGTATAGCCAACACTTCTAATGGAATCCCAGAGCACGTTGAGGCCACCTTCCCAGGATCCGTTACATTTCCAACTAATTATGGTAAGTTTTGAAATCGAATTTTTATTGTATGAACAATGAATCTTTGACAGTAAAAGATCTATTTTTACCAATTTTGAATGCATGAAGCTAATTTTTATAGGAGCTACAGTCACAAAAGAGGTTACAACAACTTCTTCAGGATTTGGTAGCACTACCATTACCAAAGAAGTAACCACCATCCCAGGATTTGGAAGGACCACCGTCACTAAGCAAGTGACCACTAACCAAGGGTTCGGAGGAGTCAATATGGCTCCAACTACAACTACAATGACTTCCACTTCTACAGTCACTGCCCCAGTGATTTCACAGGCAGCTGGAAGGTCAGTTGCCCCAGTCAAGGTCCAAAAAGAATCTAAAGGATACAGAATCAGAGGTCTCTTCGGAAGGGGAAGAAGATTTTAGAACTAAAAAGTTATAAATTAAATATAATATTTTCATCACTCAAAATCTTATCAGAGTCTCGGGGTTTTGGGGTTTTGGGGTTTTGGGGTTTTGGGGTTTTGGGGTTTTGGGG